TAGACATTTTCGCCTATCACCGCTGCAGAGCTACTGTCTACTCCAAAATGTAGTTCCCCAACTTGTTTCCATGCTTCAGTTCCCATGTCATATTGTTCGACGCTGTTTAAGGTTCCAAAGTTGTAACCACCAAAGACAAACAACGAGTCCGACATTGCCACCATTGAATGTCTGTATCGACCATATTGCATAGAAGATCTTTCCCGCCACTGCGACAGTTTTGCAGAATATCTTATACAACTCGTCATATTCGTTGTTCCGCCGGTAATGAAGATGTCATGACCATAAGAGCAAACTGCAAAGTCTTCTCCAATGTCGGCAACGATAGGTTGAAGTGCAACCCATTTTTTGTTTGCAAAACTGTATCCAACAAATTCTGTGACAATCGAGTCATTGCCTGAAAGGCGTTTCCCCACAATTGCCAGAATCTGTTCCTGTTCTGTGTTGATCCGATAAGGTTTCTCGTCCCAAGTCAGCTCTTGGCGCCTTGACGGCAATGCATGATATTTGATGGCATTTTTCACCGCTGTTCGACAAGCACTGTGTTCAAGAACCATATGATGCTGATCAACTTGATCCAGTAAGAATTCAAGATTGACTGAGGTGAGTCGAATATGTTCAAATAGCTCCGGAAATGCTATTTTCCTTCGAACCTCGTCTGCTGCTATCCAGTTAAAAAGGGCCTTGCAGACGACCTCTTCGCCAGAGACATTTAGCCTTTCGTCACGAATAAGGTTTTCCACTTCGTCCTTTTCAAGTTTCAAAAAGTCGTTGCTTTCCCAAACGTCTTCGAAATTATTCAAAATAAATGGATGGCTATTATCTACTAGTTTTTCAATATTATGTGATTTCCCTAGTTTCCAGACTCCTATGCAGTTGTGAACGTCTATGTTTCTCGTAATGTAATCTTCACATTTGATCTGCAAACACGTGATTTGAAGCATCGAGGAAATCTGCAGAAGATCTCCAACCGTATCAGGCTTCATGATGTCTTTCCCCAAATACACATACTGAAGAATATCATGAAATAATTTAGAGCTGGTTTTATGAAGACTTATTTCCATGGAGTTGGATTCTTTCATGCCAGAAGAAAACATGGCGTCGAAATACGGAGAAACAGACGACAGAATGACCCGATGACACCGAAAAGACTGGTTCTCGACGTTGATGATGACGTCAGTGAACCGCTGAGATTTGTACATTTTACGAAGTCCCTCCAGCAAACAACTGGAAACAGATGAAGATTCTTCCTCCATTTTCATTCCCTAGTTGTGCATCTGTAAAATTAATTTAAACATTATTGAAAGCATGCCTTTATATGTTTTTTCACCTTAATTGTTTTACATTTGTGGTCAAGGACTAATGGCCTCTCCTTTAATTTTCACATTTTTAAAATAAGTTTCAAAATTATTTTTCAGTAAGAGCTACCGCATTATTTTTAAATGATAAATGGTGTGAATATGAATTGAAGCGCTGTTTAATTTTTCTTTAGAAATACTTTTTTATCCTTTAATTTTGCATTTAAGTACTTTAAATGTTTTTCTCAAATATATTGATTTTTTTTTTTATAAGAATCGACAAAAAAAGAAGAAGTTAATTTTCCTTCATATGTGAGGTTTGATCGAATTGACTACTCAAGGGTCTCAATTATTGACCTTTGGTAAAACGATTTATGATTAATGTTAGAATTTTTTATTTGCAAGGAAGTTACCTCTCTTATCAGAAGGCCGATTTTTCTTAAATATTTTTTAACTCCAATATTTAAGCATAGGTGAGGTCATAATGAAAATGAAACCTTCTAATCTAACAAATAAGTTGCTAATTTTGGGGGATATAAGAGAGTTATTGGTCATTTCCCCGTAGCTGAAGATAAATTATGAACAAAATTTGTATACTAGTACTGTTTGTACACAGTATTATAGATGTAGAGTAGTAAAGTAAACACTGTACTCATGCAAGTGATTATCTGTTTTGTGGGAAATCGAAATATCACTTATGATTATCTAGAGTGTATCAGCAATGAATAATATTTTATCCAAGTAAACCACAGGCACCTGAAGTGTGGATCAATAGCCCCCCCCCCCTTTTTTTTTAATAAAAAAAATGTAAGTGTATAACATCTCAAAAATGTATAATTTTCCCGTCAAACACATCCATATGTCGCTCTTGAAATGCAAGTAGATTGTACACTTCAGGTGCCTATGAGTAACATAACTAAAAGAAAAGCTAGAATATTTTGATGCTATACGTCTCGAATATAAAGTACCTCTGCAATGTGAAAAGATGGTGAGCATGGATTCCTCCAACTATCAAAATTGTGGAATGTTGGGCATTTCATACTATTTTATAAATTGAGATATCTTTTATGAAATATTGTCCACAATATACATGCGGACAATGCGCTACTTGAGGCAAGTGCGAGAGATCGTAAGTAATGTGCAGTCTGTATGCATTGATTCAGGAATGCATTTATTTATTGCAACATCGTCAGGAGTCGGCATATTGATATAAACTCTCCTAATTAGAGAGGATCGTACATTTTGACCGATGATAGTTTTGTAGCATATTTATCGGGTCTCTTACATTGAAACAAACAGAACTCTTGTTATTGCTAATTTTCTGCAAGTCAACTATAATGTGTAACTATCTTTACCTGTATGTTGAGAAATCCAAGGGAAATATACCCGTAGGAATTTAGGGACATATTTTTGTTAAACGTCGTACGGAGAACCTGTTTCAATTTTACATAATCGCTATATAGCATCATTTATAAGAACACTGTTAGCCCTCCAGCACTTAACTTGTCTTTCAAGTGTCAGATCGTCAGTCTGGTATTTTGAGTTCTATGCAAGATTAATAAGAATATGCAATTAACAATATATAAGTATAGATTTTGTGCTTGAAAAATTGTTATTCATTTGCTATAAATGTTTGTATTGAATCGCATTGTGAACCTATAGATCAAGAAAGAAGGGGGGGGGGGGCAAAAGTTCTGTCTCAAAAAACTCTACAGAGGAAAACATTGACTGGATGGTACAAACGAAACATATGATGGAAATTATATAAATAAAAGATAATTCGATATTGCAGATTTCAGAGGCGTTTATAGTACCCGTACTAAGTGAATAAGCAATAAACTATACCCCTTTCTCTTCTAAAAATATATATCTTAAAAGTATATATGACGATACGATGAATAAATGAACACATCGTTTTAAATTGTCAACCCACAAGAGTAAGAAATACATAAGTTCTACAGGCATTGTGGGGTTTTTTTCAACATAGCTACGAAAAATTTCAACCATTGAGCATGTTCAGATAGCGGCATTCTCATTTGATAGAAGCCTGGCATAATTAATGAAAGTGAATTATTAAACATGTGAACTGAACAAAAGAAAAAGGATATAAATACCTAGCTCTTGGGAGAGTTTTAATGTTCCTCAGTTGGTCATCTGTGTAGGGTTGCACGAACATATGCTTCGTCTGTTGATCAAATCGATCTGCGTCCAAACACGTTAAATCGTATATCCCTAGGTGACGTAACTTAGCGTAACCGTGTTACGGTCAATAATCCGATGGCTATTGTATTGTCCGGAGCTGATAAATAACATGTCAATATTGTACATAGTACTAGTGCTACAGAAATTAACTGTGATATAGCTTGGCAAAATAATTTCCTTAAAGTTAAAAAATACAAGCAGTGTTAGGGAAGAGGGGACGACCATTTGATTCTGGATTAGGTTTTTTTTTTAAAGATTCAAATTACTTATTTTTCATATAAATGAAGAAAAGGGGTCGATTTACAACAGAACTTACAATTAAATTTTAATTCTCCAAATAACTTTCTTATTTAAAATAATTTGAAATTATTGTATTATTTTTTTAAAATTATTATATGTAAGCAATTTTCAAAATCTTATTTATTTTGCAAGATTAAAAAAAAAATTAAGTTTTGGTCTTAGTCGTGAGTGCTTTTGAAACAAGCACCTCAAGTTACTGAGTATTTATTTCCAGTGTGATCAGGGACGAAGAAACTTTCCTTTTTTACTAAATACATTTTATAAGCTTCAAAAAGCCATACTAACTACCAAACTCAAAAATTTCATTTTTGGAGTAGTAGTAGCCCGTCTGGGAAAGGATTTTTTTCTTTTGCCTGTCAAAAAGTTCGATTTTTTCCCACTGGAGTGGAACCCTCTCCCCCACCCTCTGCCACGCCACCCGTTCTCCGGCCATAATAAATTACGTCCAGAGAGAGAGAGAGAGAGAGAGAGAGAGAGAGAGAGAGGGGGGAGAGAGAGAGAGGGAGGGAGGGAGGGATTGCTCAAATTCAAAACGGCCCTTTTAGTTACAATTTAAGTGAAATGACAAATTAACAAAACAACCCCCCCCCCCAAAAAAAAATGCAAGAATTTATCTTTTAAAAATTAGAAAGGAAATTAAGAAAAATAAAGATACCAATATAATTAAGATCTATTGACATAAATTAAATGTTTTATCTTTTTTTTCTATAATGAAATTTTATTGTTTATATATTATAGATATTTGAAACGATTATTAGCTTGCACAAAGGGGAATAACTCTAATAATTTCAACAAGAGGTCAAAAGGTTACTGTCTGCGCAAAGAGGCTGAATCTCCAACGTTCCGTTCAGAAACACTTTTCAGTGAGACAAATTTTTCGAAAGGACAGTTCTTGTTACACACACTGTTTGATGTGACGATCTTTGAGGTGACATGGGGTAAGTTTATTTTTTTCATTCAATTTCATGCATTATATTATTTGGAGTAGATCTAGAGAAACTGCACGGTTGATTGATTGCTATTTTTAACTGCATGTCTTTGCTTTTGTCAACAATAAACAGCTGATTTTTCATAAATGAACAAAGAAGATGAATGTGTTCTTAAATGTCATGATACTGCTGATCAGGAGGTTGGTAAGCAAAAGTATCCTACCTGGTTGAATTATTCATTAATTAAATATCAATAAATATATAATATTTAAATATAAAAACACTGCAGTGTTATGAAAAATATTAATGAAAATGATATAGTGCATCTGATCCATATTGTTTTAGAGATGTGTTTCTAGTCATTTTAGATTGAAGTCCATGTTTGAGCAATGAATGATCATGGTATGCAATATGAAATATATTTTATACGAGCTGTCAGACATTGCAGTTTTAATTTCTTTTACAATTTACTTATGAATGTTGGGGTACAATATTTATACTGGTGTCTCATAATATCGCGGTACTTAATCCTTTTGCATAAAAAGTGTTATTCCAATTTTTTACTTTAACTTTCATCAAATACTATCCATAAACCAATCTATGGCCTAACCTTTTAGTGTCAAATTATTTCTCAAGTTTGCATTGTTTAATTTGTTGTCTATTTTTAAAATGGGAAGTCTTATTTACCTCCTAAATTGGAGAGTCACATAGTATCGCGGCATAGGAAAACTTGGAAACTTGTTGCTGACATGGACTTCAATTTTTTTTAAAAATATTCACGGTGTAATATTATTCTACATAAAAATAAACATTTATACAAACTAAAGACTTTCGAAACATGAACTTTATTATGGCTTTTACTGGGTTATAAAATCAATGATCTAAATATGATAAAAACGGGAATGGAAATCTGTAAAATTACGTTTTATTTGAATAAAAAATTTACAGACGCATGTTCCATACTTTTTAATCATCACAAAAGTTTACATTCGGACGACAATCAGATGGTATTTTAACAGAAAGGATATGAGCTATGTATCTGGATTTTTGGAATAAACCGCGATACAATGGAACCCGCGATATAATGAGAAGCGAGTATACATATTATACATCAGTGTTTAGGTTAGCTGCAGATCTGTAGCATTATGGTTTTATATATTTGTCTTTTACCATAAGACTACAGATCCTGTAATGCAAAAAAGGTGCAATTTACGGCGCTTGATATTTTTTCACTCCCTTGAATAAAGGGGGTGTAAGGTAGTTAATTGACCGATGCTGTGTAACAGGAGAGGAGAAAATGCAGCGGACCACACCGGGATTCGAACCCGGGCCCCTTGAAACTCCGGTCAGGTGCTCTACCAACTGAGCTATCTGGCCACTGGCAATGGAACCTGGCTGACCGCCACATTCCTCCCTCCTTAAAGGTCTTTGGCTGTCCAAAGACCCCAACCCAGGCTCATCCCTGGCAGGCCTCTCACCTGTAAATTCCAGGGCACCAAATGTAATGGGAGAGGAGAAAATGCAAGCGCACAAGACAAGGCCGGGATTCGAACCCGGGCCCCCTGAAACTCCGGTCAGGTGCTCTACCAACTGAGCTATCTGGCCACTGGCAATGGAACTCTGATGACCGCCACATTCCTCCCTCCTTAAAGGTCTTTGGCTGTCCAAAGACCCCAACCCAGGCTCATCCCTGGCAGGCCTCTCACCTGTAAATTCCAGGGCACCAAATGTAATGGGAGAGGAGAAAATGCAAGCGCACAAGACAAGGCCGGGATTCGAACCCGGGCCCCCTGAAACTCCGGTCAGGTGCTCAGCTCTACCAACTGAGCTATCTGGCCACCCGGCTGACTGCCACATTCCTCCCTCCTTTAAAGGTCTTTGGCCCTCCAAAAATCCCAACCTAGGCTCATCCCTGGCTGGTCTTTCACCTGTCAATTCCAGGGCATGGCACGGCAACAAATGTAACGAGAGAGGAGAAAATGCAGCGGACCAGACCGGGATTCAAACCCGGGCCCCCTGAAACTCCGGTCAGGTGCTCTACCAACTGAGCTATCTTGCCACCGGCGATCGAACCTGGCTGACCGCCACAGCTGGAAAGTGGAGAAATTCTCCCCAAAAGTGCACAAAAAACATATTGCGCCGTAAATTGCACCTTTTTTGCATTATGGGATCTCTAGCGTTATGGTAAAAGACAAATATATAAAACCATAACGCTACAGATCTGCAGCTATGTTTAGGTTTAAAAACCAATGATCAAAACAAGATATAGTTTATTGCCTGCTACACATACACTAGCTAGGAGCTGATGATAAATTAATAAGGAGTAAGAGGATATAATTACTAGGGAGTACATATGTACTTAAAAATTTGCAGGCAGATCATGCAATACGTTTGTCTTCTCAGAGACATAAATTATCCTCTTTGTCAATGGTCTACCCTAGCTGGGTTTACTTTTATCAGTTTGATTATTAGAAGTGTATAGAAGACTGATCAAAGGTCCTTTTCTGACATAATTTTCCTTTTAAGGCATTCATAGTCTAAAAATAATTTTTTAAGTTGGTAAAGATAGGAACATAAATCAATAGACTACTTCTATGATGTACATACGTGTTAAAAACTATTAAAACTTAAATGATATTTTCATTCATCCAACAGATTTCACTCATCCATGATTGTTCCTCTGATCAAAACATGTTTTTTAAAAGGCTACATATTTTTTATGATTATATTAAATTCAAAAGCAAAAATTAGCATATACCAGTGGTAAAGATTTGGCTCAAATTCAATAAAACTTAATTGGTATATAAGTAGACTTAACTAGTATACATTATACATGTATTTTTAAGACTTTATATCTGCAGACAATGTTTGAAACTCATCATAAAATATAAAGCTATAGAAAAATGCAGGACTGACTGCTAATGAAAAGTGTCAGACATGCTAAAAATCAAGTAGGCCAAGCCTGAGAAAATATGTGTCTTTAATGAATTAGTTTTAGCAATAATGTGAATGAAACTAGCTCACCATATCTTTGATCCTGAACCTATAGGCTGACCATTTCTGTTTGTTTGCTTGTTACACTTTGCTGCCAATACTATTGGTTGATTTGAGAGAGATTAATCAAATAGCTATAAATTTTAATTTCTGGAAAATTTTAACATGTCAAGCTGGGCATTGATACACTCATACATGCAAATCTGGTAGCCTGTGACAAAATTTGTGCATCTTGAGTGGTCTTGTGCAAGGTTATTATGTGTTTATGATTTCAAAGAACAGTGATGCCATATGGTGGCTGAAAAATAGGGTTTTTTGTGAAATTCTTTGAAGATCAATCCTCCTATAGTTTTGGTCTGATATGTAAGACTTGATGCTAAAGTTGACAACACTAAAATATATTTAAGGTCTTCCGTCTTCACGGAAGACCTTATAGTGATTCTATTGTTTCTTATTATTATTATTATTATTATTATTATTATTATTATTATTATTTTTCCGTACACCAGATTTTGTGCACGCGATTTCTCGAAGACTGCTGGGTGGATTTTCATGAAATATACAGATATTATGTATTGTTATCTGAAGTTATTTTTTCCGTGAGATTTTTTGAAAATTCTTATCTGGTGCCAAGTTACGGGACATTTCCTGATTTTAAAATGACATTTTGTCTACGGTTAATCTCAAGAACGGTAGAAGATATAAATGTGAAACTTTCAGGGATTATAGATCGTGATATATGCTATCCAGGACGCGACA